ATATATATATATATATATATATATATATATATATATATATATATATGTTATTTAAACTATGACATATCGTTTTATGTCGAACAAAAATTACGTACGATAAATCTTGTACGGTCTCATGTAAATGCAAAATATGTATCTATCGTTTTGTTCGTTTTCTTTTTTCAGTTAACTGAATAGGAAAAAAAAAAGAAGGACAAAGAATAATGAATTTATAGTACCTTAGTCTCGAACTGTGAATACGTATATATTACATGTATATAATATATATTATATACATATACATATATACATATATATATGTCTGATGTATAATCAGTGTGTACATTACACATGTAACACGTACGAGTAGCTTTAATAAACATATGGCCTTATTTGCGACGATGAATTGAAGTTGTATACTACGTTGAAAAACATGATTTATCTGTAACCATTGGTAAACACAATTTTCCATCATTTATTGCTTGCAATTATTTATCCCTTTAATGCCTTCGGTCTTAACATCTTTGGAAATTCACGTCGATTTTTTGTATAGAAATACCGTGCATATCTTTATAATATAAGTCAAAATATTAATAAAATAGATTGTCGAATCGTGTAAATACTACTGTACTGATCACGAGTTTCGAACCATCATCTTCATTGTTATATTTTAAATATAAAATTAATAATATAAAAGTATGTACGATGTATACTTATATTTAATATTAATATTATGTATAATACTTAAACATTATTCTACTTATAAACTCTATAAAATTTTAAAATCAAAATTTCTTGAATTTTCATAATATAATGTCACCAAGAGGATGGCTCTCAAACTTTTGTTCAGTAGCGTAGAGCTACCACGTTCAAAGGCAGGTTATTAAACACGTACAGTGCCAGTGCGAAATGAATCTTTCATATAGCACAGTACGTGATTAGAATCCATATTTTCATGCGCATTTATTAATTGAAAAAGAAAACATGCAACCTATCAGAAAGTTTCATCAATTCCAAGTCCAATGATTGTTCGAAAAGAAGAAACTACTATGTAAAGATGTTCAACAACAGAGCATCGTGGTAATCTCGCTTTCAACCTCTCTTCCCACAATTGTCTCTTCTTTCAGCACGCAGCGTCCCAGTTTTGCAGCAAAGTAAGCCGCACGCACATTATTACGCGCCACAAACGAAGCCAGGACCTAGCCCTGAACCACGAGTCAACGAACGCCAGGGAGAGGCTCGGAAGATTACAAAACTGTGCCGAGAACATTCATTGCACCTGAAATTAATCGCTTCTGCGAATCATTGGGGACCACCTGTTGCTCTTGTTACTTTTAGCTCCTTTGTTTGGATCATATTTATTTTTCAATTGATTCAGTCAGAACAAAACTGGAGAATGAGAAAAAGAATCTCAGTATTTTTGATCATTATATAATATTATTCTTTCTGAAACAAAGAGAAAAAGAAAAAAAAGATCTGAGATTATTTGGAAAATTTTGATATCGATACTATTAATATTTATGTTTTCTAAATTTAATTTTGTAAAAGAGAGGTTGAAAGATAATAGAAAAAAATATTTGAATATATCTTTAGAATGAATTATAAATTGAACGTAAAAAAAAAAACGAGTGTGTAGCCTTCAAAATGAGTTTCAGTATTCATTTGCGCTTACAACAAATGATGTTATTATACTATGAAAAGAATATCTTTAGATTTATAGACCAAGTTCGATATTCAATATTATTTAAGAAATTTTTATTCTTTCGTCGGTTAATTAAGTGCTAATTGAAAAATTCAAGAAGACCAGTCGAAAATTTAATTAAAATTAAATTATCATACATTATCGTGTCGATTATACATTCCCTTCATATGTGTAATTAAATCGTTAAACTGAATTAGACAATTTTAAGTGATTGAGACGAATATTGAAAACTTAAAAATGATTGTATATTTAACAAACGATCGAGGAATTCAAACAAATATTGTTTGTTTGAAAATGTAAGTTTGTAAAATATATTTGGGCTATGCACTTATCATGATTTTGTTTTTAAATAATTGATATCTAAAAAAATTAAAATATTGCGAACTATTATAAAATAACTGTTAATAATTGTAAGGTTTTAATAGTCGACCAATCTTTTAATATTCTAGTCAAGAGCAGCCTTTGTGGTGCTTTTTGACAACAAAAACGAGTGTCGACAGTACTCGGCAAAGTATTCTATCGTAACAGTAGATTTGTAAGTATGCTTTCTATTATGAGAAGTTGGTTGAGATTTCGTTTGGTTTCGTTGAGAGTCTCGCCCAGTTGAATCCGATTACAGCTAACTTTCAGGTTGGAACACTTTATATAATTGTAAAATTATTTCCTGTTTACTCCATTAAATCACATTTGAATCTATAAATTTGAATTTCACATTAGATGATATGATTGGCACAATTTTATTCACTCATTCAATAATGTTTAGATTATTGATCTTTATGAAACGAAACGGAATCGAACCATATACTAAGAAAATTAATATATTTTTTGTAGTAGTTAATTAAATAGAGTGTTCTTTAATAAATAATACAAATATTAATTCTTGAAAACAAAATAATTGAAAACAAAATAGGAAATTTTTGTTTTTGAAAAAATGCATAGAATGCGTGTAATTTATAACAGAAAATGCTATTTTTGTGAATGAGGACAATAGTTAACTCAAGTCACAAAATCTCGAAAAATATATACGGAGAAATGAATTTAATTTTTTACATGAAATTAATTATTTTTTATGGAACACTCTGTACAATATGTAGTATATAAAAAGTGTACTGCTGCTCGTACCGATAATGAGTTATTTTAATTTGTGTTTAATTAGAAGAGTGTAATTATTGTGTATGTTTAGTGTTATGTAAATTATGTCTTAATAAAGAGGTAGATCTTATTTTTGCATTCTTTATTCAATTGTCATTCTAAAAGATTCTTAACTGTATATTATGTAACATCATTAATAAACATCTCATTATGTTTATTAATTTTTCTTTTAATAATTTCGTTTATAAGTTTTATTTTTAATAGAAGTTGAGTTTTGATTAAATAATTTAATTAATTAATAAATTAATTCAAGATCAAGCATTGCATAAAATTATTAAAAAACTATTTATATTAAAAATAAAAAATTATTAATGAAATTATAATGCATAAATTTTTCAACATATAAATCATAAGTTATTATATTACATGTGATATTCTTTAATATTTTTTTAATAATCTACTAATTTAATTTTTATCCGATATAGAAATGAAATATATATATTTCGTTAAAAATATGAAATAATTTTAAACTTTAATTCTGTTTTCTCGAGCGAACACTAGATGTTTTCTAAATATTAAGATAGATGACGCTGAGTATCCAGTTTTTATCTAATTTGGTACAATCGATAAAAGTAGATGCGAAATCGAATTAACGAAAATTTTTAAAATAAAAAAAACAATATTGAATATTAAATTATTCTTTTTTATAATAATTTAATTATATATCTTCTTT